ATAACAAGAACCAATTTACCTCCTCCTTCTAATACGCTGTGACGAACCGCTAGATCTTATACGCACGTTCCTCCAACACACAAATTTTATATAAGAATTTTGATCTAGACTAATATGCGAATCTCGCACGACATAATGACTGTAACTCGACCTTTCATAATTAATGATAGCCGTCTTCAACGCTTCAATCGATGGAAAGGCAACAAGAAACAAGGTTGTTAAAAACACTTTATCCAGTTCCGTTACGTGAGAAACAACAGTGCTTGTACTTGGAACGTTACTGTCCTCCATAATGATGATTAAAATCTACATCATCGGCATGTACTCATAATTTATAACAACTTTCCAGGAATTATCTTATCCCACCGGCGATTTTTTTTAAAGTGTTCCCCACCCCTAAATTACAATACTTTTCATCCCCTGTTTCGTCCAATGAAATGGGTAGTTTTAAAACTTCTATGTAATTGATTAGTTATGTCTGGAAAGTTGTTATAAATTATCAGTACATGCCGACGATGTACATTTTAATCGTCATTATGGAGGACAGTAACGTTCCAAGTACAAGCACTGTTGTTTCTCACGTAACGGAACTGGATAAAGTGTTTTTAACAATCTTGTTTCTGGTTGCCTTTCCATCGATTGAAGCGTTGAAGACGGCTATCATTAATTATGAAAGGTCGAGTTACAGTCATTATGTCGTGCGAGATTCGCATATTAGTCTAGATCAAAATTCTTATATAAAATTTGTGTGTTGGAGGAATGTGCGTATAAGATCTAGCGGTTCGTCACAGCGTATTAGAAGGAGGAGGTAAATTGGTTCTTGTTATTATAATTTGTTTCACGAAGCGCTTCCATGAACACCCAATGTCCGGCTTTCATATTTTGTAAGATAGTAGACGGCATCTGGGCTGTCGTACGTGGGAATGTGCGTCACAATCACGAGTGCAGTTCCCTCAGGTACGAAGGTAATTCATGGGTGCGTAGGTTAACGGATGGTGAGCTTGAAGCTGTTAAACCGCTGCTGATATCTGGTACAGCAGCATTCCACGTAAAGAATTTTGTTTACCAATCATATGGTAAACGACTGACTGATCAAGACATCTGTAATATGCGGTATAAACTGTTCTCAAACGCGAACCTACCAGGTAAGCAATTTGCCAAATTATAATGTGCCCCATAGGTGATTACGGCAAATTACAAGCTCACATAATATCCTTGGGTGGGCTGTGCGCATACGAATTAGACGAAGAGAACTGTCTATCGTATTTTTTTCTTCATGACTGCCGAGCAATTGAATTGGGCTGGTTACTTCAGTAACGTTATTGGTTTTGACGGGACGTACAAAACGAATAACCAGAACGTCCATTTATATCAAATAGTTGCACTTGACATGAATTTTAAGGCAATACCCATCCGCATTGCCTTTTTAAGTAATGAAACGTCCACGTTAATTTCTACCTTCCTGCGTTTTTTCCAACGGTGTACAACAATCGACACGTGGTAGGAATCGTGACCGATGACTCACCTGCAATAGCTTCTGCTATCACGCATGTGTTTCCCAATGCCCACCATATTCTGTGCCGCGTACACCTAGTTAGGAATGTGATAAAGAGGGTAAGTGGACAGTTCATTAACATTATCTCATTAACCGTTTATGTAGAGGGTTGGATCAGAAATTCTGCAGCTGTTCTTTCGTCTTATGTTGACTCGAACAGTTGAAAGGTAAATCAAAGTTTGCATAACATTATATTTCAGTTTTAACAACGTGCTTTCCATAATTGAACTGTCTGATGGAACGTTTGGTAGATACGTCAGAGAACACCTTCTACCAAGGAAGCACAAATGGGCGAGTGCTTTCCGACCGCAAGCAACGCTTTTCCAACTGAATAATACATACTTCGTAGAGACGAGTCACAGAGTGTTGAAGATGTATAATCTTAATCGTAAAACACCCGTGCTCAGATCGATTTTTAGTGTGCTGCTTCGGACTGGATATTGGATGGAAGCAAGATTACAGAAATATTCAACGGATTGTCGTAGGAAAGCGGACGTTGGTCGACTTCAGGAACGACTAACATCAGCTGCCTGTCAACTACTGAAGCGACACCTGCGCATTCCTATTACGCAGTCTGTATTGTCAGAAGAATCATTCAGGGCAACGGACGCCACGGGAACGTACTGTGTACATGTCGATACTGGTCGTTGTTCGTGTTCATTCTTCATTGAAAACGGTTTACCATGCCGTCATATATTGGCTTACTACGCACAAAGTAATACTGATGTGAATGTACAGTCTATTTGTGACCGGTGGTTACACTGCGACGCTTATTTGACTCATATCGCAGTTGAGAATTATATCCCAGTGCAATTGAGTCAGCCGAACTTGAGGAATGAAGTTCGAGATATAGTCAGGCGAATGTCTGACGAACAAATCACTTCACTTCATCGCTTCCTAGTACACGGTGGACTATCAACAACATCGTTTGATTTGTACGCCCAGCCAACAACGTCGACTCACGTTACACAACCGTTTATACAAGGAAGACCTGTTGATTTGGATGATACGCTCAGTCAACCTGAGGAGGAAATATATAGTATCAACTCTGAAGAGTTAACTGAACGGGACATCCAAAGTGAAGAAGAGGATGAAGAGGATAGACTATGCGATATCTGTAATCTTGCGCAGTCACCTTGTGAAACAAATGATACGGTTGATTGGGTTTTCTGTAGATGTGAGGCTATGTTTCATACCTTCTGTGCCTACGACCCATCACCGAACATCCGAGCAGTTCATTGTCTTATGTGCGACGCAATTTCCAACTAAAACGAGAACGAATAAAGGCCCTTTTCAGGGCCACCCACAATTTGATTTACATTATTTCTGTTTTTCACATATTTTCCATGGCCAAGGTCAAGTGATTAAGATATCCCTTAGAGATTAATAATTGAAATTAATATCTAATGCGATTATAGTTTATATTTTTGTAAACTTATTTCTTTAAAGCAATTAGTCCCTTTTATAAATTTCGATAGAACAATGAGAAGACGGAGTTGATCTGAAAAATGTGATGTATTTGCGCTATACATTCCGAACAATCTGGTCACATATATACTTGTCAGGGCATTTTATATGAAAATTAATAAAGGTCAATTACATGAAAGTTAAAGTACAAACAAAAATAACAAAGGGGATAGAAAGGATAAGAAATTGTCGCATTATCCTAGGCCATAGAATGACTCAAGGATTACCAAGGTAAATTCAAGGTTACGACAAATTGTCTTTGTACACATAAAGAGGGCTTAAATTTACGAATAGCCAAGGCTTCTATAAACTTAAAAATTCGTCCTTAACAATTTCTATACAACGTTTTAAAAGCTGCATTAATATCAATTTTGTGCCCCGTTTCAATTATATGTTTCGCTATCGATGACCCTGGTTTTCTACCACCCACGTTGATCGAATCGTTTGACACATATTGATTTTGAAGCCATTTAGGCACATGTTCATTGACCCTTGATTGCATTGTTCGATTACTCCTCCTTATGTATGTGTGTCCACACAAACATGTAAATTGGTAAATACAATGGGATGTGACGTAATCATTGGTGCATTGTTTGGGTCTACTAGGAATCATGGCCTTGGACTTTTCAATCACAATCAATTGAGCAGCATAATAGGTGTTCTCGATCGCTGCTTTCAATCTCTGTCTTAAAACTATACTATTAGATTCACGTCTATATGGTAGATTGATGTAAACTTTTTTCTTTGGGACTGAATAAACAAGAGGTCTTGGCATTAACTGACTTTTGCACCTATTAATAAACTTTAATAGATAACCATTTGCTATTAATGTGTCAGTCAGTAACTTTTTATCTTATTTCTAACGTTTATTAAATATAAAGGTTAAGAACGGTTAGACAATATTTTGTCATCTAATGAACACTAATCTAGTAATTTTAGATTTCAAATAATGTGATTACCATTCACGTATTAGTAACACATTTGTTAACTATTTAATAATAGTACATTTTTAATAGGAATATTTCAATATAGTGATAATTATCAGAAGGGGTTTTGTGGAGATTGTAATAATTTCAATGATTAAGATCATAAGTCAGTTGAAGCTAGACCACCACCATGGAAAACCTGGAAGCACTAGACGGCCGTTTCGTCCTATTATGGGACTCCTCAGCAGTGCGCATCCACGACCTTGCCCTGTGCGAGATTCGAACCCAGGACCTACTGGTTTCGTGCGCGAGCACTTAACCACTAGACCACTGAGCCGGCCAGCGTCCAACGGTGTTAATGTCTAACTTCAACTAATCCACGAAATAGGGGATGAAAAGTATTATAATTTGGGGGTGGAAAAAAAATTTTCAGGGGGTTGGGGGACACTTAAAAAATAATTGCCGGTGGGATAAGTTAATTCATTTAAGTTGGTGAACATAGTGGGATGTGACAATCGTTTTCATGTTTTTTAGGTTTTGGATGGTTCAAATAGTCTGTTATTTAAACAAAGACTTAAATCAGTCATCAATAAGACGTATTGCTCAGCAAAGGTCATTGTCAAGGTTCATGTAACTGACTCATATTATATCCGATTTACTAAGGTCAATATCTATAGATGATTGGGATTAACACAGTATAAATTTGATTTGATTGTTACAACTTTATATATTTCGTTGATGATTAAGCTGAAGAAGTTCAGACAAATTAGTTGGACGAAACGTTCGAATTATTTTTTATTTAAAATTTCAATCGATGAGATTATTTCGACTATAATTTTCACATAAAATATCTTTATACAAATCACTGTGTATGTTTCTCTATCTCTAAACTTTGACTAATTCATGTTTATTTATTATGTTGACCTATTTCAATTTGTTTATTAACCTTGAATTTTGTATAGAAAGTTAATTATAACATTCATATAAACATTAAATTTGGATTCTTCTCTTTAATATTTTTTGTTTATTCTTGTTTTCATTTTTCTTTTCAGTCGTCTTGATTCAATCAAAATTAAACCAAATAATTTGGTTACCTTAATGGTCAGTTAGTTAATTAAATATGTTCATAATTAAAAACAAACAAACAAACAAACAAAGATATTTCATATAGAGAAATAAACATCAAACATTCTCTGGTATAAGCAATGATGGATAGTGGCTAGTAGTGGAATCTAGAACAAGCGTTTCGTTCTATTTGCGACTCGTCAGCTGGATGTACCTGCATCTCAGAGTTGATGTTCACTCTTGGACTCAAACTCAGTACCATTCGCTTCAAACGCCATCGTGTTATACACTCAACTACTGAGTCCTGATAGCCACTTGCTTGTGAACATCAACTTTGAGATGCAGGTACATCCAGCTGACGAATCCCAAATAGGACGAAACGCGCATCAAATTGGATTCCACTACTAGCCACTATCCATCTATGCTTACTACAAAAACCTTGCGAATTAAGGCAATATCGAGGCATACGCACAGTATGCACATATGCCAATAACGGATTGATCATTTGCAGTCTTAAACCTCATTGGGAAAATACAAGCTGAACGGTACCAAGTGAATTCTCTGGTATATTTATACGTTAAATGTTTGTTTAAGTAAATAGTTATGAAACCTTCAAATTGCAAGTTATGATGATTTTAGTATTATAGTGAACAAGGATTTCATCTCTGTGTGTGTGTGTGCGTGTGTGTCTACTGATATAGGGTTTTGATAACTTGAATAAAATACATATATATACCAACTTCTATATTCCTTATAATTTATTGATAAATTATTAAAAGTATAAATGTAGTCATTATATATTTATTCTCAGAAGGAGTTTTGTGGAGATTTCTAAAAATTTCAATAATTGAAATCATGAATCAACTGAAGCTAGACCACCATGGAAAATCTGGAAGCACTGGACGGCCGTTTCGTCGACAATGGTGTACGGTGGCGCGACTTCGTGGATTGGTTCAAGTTAGACATTGATACCGTTGGATGCCAGTCGACTCAGTGGTCTAATGGTTAAGCGCTCGCGCGCAAGACTGTGAAAGGTCCTGGGTTTGAGTCTCGGTAGGGAGCGGGATCGTGGATGCGCACTGCTGAGGAGTCCTATAATAGGACGAAACGGTCGTCCAGTGCTTCCAGGTTTTCCATGGTGGTGGTCTAGCTTCAATCGACTCATGATTTCAGCTATTGAAATATATTTATTCATTTATTCGCTTTTAATAAGTAGGTTGCATGTTTGAAATCAGGGTTCTTCAACTCCCCTACCCTAGGTGTACTGTCTATATCCGCCAATCCGGTTAAAGCGCCGGATATTCGCTTTTCGTCCTCTCAATTTCATCAGCAACAGTAATGCCACGACAAGGCGATGAGTAGGAATTCCCTGGCAGTGGTTGTATGCACGTGGCCATGTGAGAACATTTGGAGAGGGTGAGCTAGCCCTCCCCGCTCTCGGCCGTACCCGGGCACTTGGGGAGCCACGTGCTTCGTTTTACTCACTCGGGCAGTATTCTAGACCTCACACAAATCTAATGATTTGCATGGCTCATGGATTCAAAAAGATCGTTTGGCTTTTAGCAACTTACGTCATCTATGGCGAACGCGAGATATCCGTCCATCATTTAATGAGCGAGTATACTGTCCGGCAGTTCGTTCTGTTTTACATTACGGCTGAGAAACGTGGTCATTAAGAGTAGAAGATACTCGTAAGCTACTAGTATTTGACAACACATGCCTTAGAAATATCGCTCGCATCTGCTGGGATCACCAGGTAAGTAATAGTGAGGTTAGACACAGGGTATTAGGGAATGGATGGTAAATTAGTTGATGAGGTTATGAGTCTTCATCAACTGAGATGGTTGGGCCACGTGTTGCGTATGCCTGAACACCGGTCACCACGACGTACGATGCTAACCGGTGTTGGGGATGGTTGTAAGAAAGTTAGGGGCGGCCAAACCAAAACGTGGCATCAGTGCTTGAAGTCACTAACTTCTGGTCTGAGCCATGTTGGTAGATGCAGACTACTTGGTTGGGGTCCGCGTAACTATCGGAACCAATGGTTGAGGACTCTTGGTGACATGGCTTAGAATCGATCACAATGGCGTAGGTGTGTACGATCTTTGTCTTCCCTTTAACTGTAAAATTAAAATTGCTTTATATCTTTCTTCCTGTATTATATCCTTATACAAAATCTTTCTTTTATATATTACCATTATTGAATTAACTACTATGAATTCAGTGTTCGTCTTGCTGTGCTAATGAGGTATGGCAAATTGGACCGACACGTATATGTGCCTTGTCCTGTATTTTAACTGTTTAACCGATAGCGCATATTTATTTGGTGCCTCCTTCTACCAATGTTTATGTGTTAGAATAATTAAATAAAGGTTTCGGGTTACTTATTCATTGAACATACATAAGTACTGGTAAAATAAGGCATAAAGATATGTGTTACACATATAAGAAAGTAAAGTTATGAAGTTGTTATATCCCGATAAGAATAATGAATGGTAATTTTCGGGATCCATTTATGGAACAATACTATGAGTATATTTTTATCGTATAATTGTTTATTAACTAAACTAATCATATTCATGTCCCTCTTATTATGAACTTTATTTTGACCTATGAACAATTATTATACTACTTACCATTCTTGAGTTATAACCTGTCTATTAATCACTATCTCCTTCGTTCACAGCCACATTTGTCTAATTCTTGTACAAATGTTGTTTCATATTTTATGGTATGTTGTGGTCTGTTTGATTGGTATATAAACCCAGTATGCTTGAAATAAATGATTCATATTACAGAGGCTGAGATTGGTGTTCTGAACTTAACAGGCAGCTTTAGGTAGGAAGAAGGACCGATAAGGACTCTAGATTGCTCTTACAGGTTTTATGCGTCATTGATCCGATCGATAAGTCACTGCTCTCTAATTGGCGGTGACAAGTCATATAACAGAAGTAATACATATATAGGGTCGGTATATAATCAAAGAATAAACTAATCTTATCATCAGGTTACACAACTAATCAAATGTACAGGAGATTTGAGAGGATTACTTAGTTACCTCGTAATAGCTTCAGCTAATTATAACTTCTTTTAACCATCACGTCTGTTAATTGAATATAAATCTTCTGTTGATAGTGAATTTGTAATTTTTTTTTTCGTTCTAGCGTGATGCAGTGCTTGATCAATTGAAAAGTTTCTTCGATGTAAATGCGTTAATGGTTTGCTATTTACAACAAGTAAGAATGCTTTATACACTGTACAATGGTTTCTATTGCCAATTAATAAATTATCAGAATGAGAATTTCTGAAGATTATAATAATTTAAATAATTGAATTCATGAATTGATCTAAATTTGATGACTAATGAAAATCTGGAAGCACTAGATGGGGACTACTCAACAGTGTGCATCTACAATTCCTCATACAAAACTCGAACTGAAGAGCTTTAGCCTCTCTCGCGAACACTTAAGCTATAGATGCCTGAGCCGGCATCTAATGGTGTTAATGTTCAACTTCAATTGATCTATGACTTTACTCAATCTTTCATTGATTTTTTGAAGTAGATAACTGTCTTCAGCGGACACGGAATGGACTTGACGCGAAAACTACCAAAGTGAAATTTAATAAAATAGAAAGATTCAACTTTTATAGCGTTAAATAATGTGGTTGCAGATGAACAAAAAAAAAGTTGCAGAGAAAATTCCAGTTTCGAATTTTGTTATGGCACGGCCGAGAGTGGGGGGAGTCCGCTCTCCCTCTCGAAATGCTCTCATATGGCCACGCGTATACAGCCCCTGCCAGGGAAGTCCTACTCACTGCCTTCTCGTGGCACAGGTGTTGTTTACAAAAATGAGAGGACGAAAAGCGAATTTCCGGCGCTATAACCGGATCCCAAATCAATGGTGCACATGGGCCCCAGTATCCTGAAGGAACAAATGGCGTATGAACCAATCGTTGGTCACCGGCTGGCTACCATGGGACTGCATCTCCTCACGATGCTCCACTGCCTTGTGGATCAGATCTTCAGGTCGAAGGCTCGGGGTGTGGCCCCCTAAGAAAACCACGTGTTTCGGTTTGGGCACCCGGGCAGTATCACAGCCCTCACACATATCAAATGAGATTTGTGTGGCGCATATGTATTTGGTGCCTTCTTGTACCGATATTTATGTGTTAAAATAAATAAAAAATAAACTTATAAAAATAATAATAATAAACAAACACAACACTACTCATAGGTCTTAATAATGTAACTCTGTAGATCAGGTTATATTATTTGACTTGAAAACTGTTTTACAATATTTACAAAAGTCATATACTACACATCTCTATAATCGAACATAAGTACACAACAGATAATCTATCATATTTCCACATTCTAAACAAATATTTACTGAACATTAATTTGCCATTGTTAGATGTTATAATTTGAAAAGAAACTTTCATATTAGACTTAAGGTTATCTACGATTAACTAAAAAACTCATCATATATAATTCGGTCACAGAACTAATTATTTATTTATTTTAACACATAGATATTGGTACAAGGAAGTACCAAATACATATGTGCCACACAGATCTCATTTGATAAGTGTGAGGACTGTGATACTGCCTCGGTGCCCAAACCGAAGTAAGTGGTTTTCTTAGGGATCCATACCCCGAGGCTTCGACCTGAACGTCTGATCCACAAGGCAGTGGAGCATCGTAAGGAGATGTAGTCCCATGATAGCCAGCCGGTGACCAACGATTGGTTCATACACCATTTGTTCCTTCAGGATACTGGAGCTAGCCCATGTGCACCATTAGTTTGGAATGAGGGTTAACTCTCCACCACCCTGGTTAAAGCAACAGAAATTCATGTTTCGTCCTCTCAATTTCGTAAACAACAGTAATGCCACGAGAAGGCAGTAAGTAGGTCTTCCCTGGCAGAGGCTATATACGCGTGGCGATGTGAGAACATTTCGAAAGGGTGAGTGGAATCGCTTCACTCTCGGCTGTAACAGGGCATTTGGGGGCGTGCTATGCTTGAGGAGGTTACAAGTTCAACAATATAAAGGTGAAAATAATCTCTTCTGGCGCGAAAACAAAAAAGTCAAAATTTGAAAGTAGAATTACAAAATAATAAGACATTTACAAAGTAATTTCTAGAAATAGATAACACCCCCAAATGCCCTGGTACGGCCGAGAGTGGGGAGAGTCCGCTCTCCCTCTCGAAATGCTCTCACATGGCCATGCGTATATAGCCTCTGCCAGGGAAGTCCTACTCACTGCCTTCTCGCACCACGACTGTTGTTTACGAAAATCAGAGGACGAAAAGCGAATGTTTGGCGCTATAACCGGACCCAAAACCAATGGTGCACATGGGCTAGCTCCAGTATCCTAAAGGAACAAATGGCGTATGAACCAATCGTTGGTTACCGGCTGGCTACCATGGGACTGCATCTCCTTACGATGCTCCACTGCCTTGTGGATCAGACGTTCAGGTCAAAGGCTTGGGGTGTGGCCCCCTAAGAAAACCACCTGTTTCGGTTTTGGCACCGAGGCAGTATCACAGCCCTCACACAAATCAATTGAGATTTGTGTGGCGCATATGTATTCGGTGCCTCCCTGTACCTATACTTATGTGTTAAAATAAAATAAAATAAAATAAATAAATAGATAACTCAATAATGAATTATTATATATGCTGATCATGTTCATTTTTTTTTTGCATTAACTTCTTAACTTGTATTCATGTTTCCTTCTTCTCTCTTTCTTTTTGTTTATGTATTTAGAATAAACCAGCTAAATTATCTGAAATTCGATTTTGTTTAAATCCATCATTAGAATTTATTGATTGTCCTAAACTAGAAAACAAAATTGATGATCAACAATTTCCAAATAATTTTTATTATAATATTTATAATAATAACAATCCTGTATGTAAATCATTACCATGGTTATATCAATCACCAATTTGTTTAAATCAATCATTTATTACATCATTTCATAATGGACCATGTCCTGAAGAATTAATATTTCCAGATTTTAATTAAAAAACAAAACTACTACTATACTATATTATCACCAATTCTATTGTTGCCATAGTGATTAATGTTCCCTTTTATTCATGTTGTTGTATTATTCAAATGTATAATTGTTTGTTGTTTTTTTTGATATTATATTATTTTAAATCAATAATAATAATAATAATAATGGTGACATGATGATTGATCTCTTATCAAATTGTTATGATTAGATCATTTAATAATGATTTAATATTGTATCCAAGTTTCTATGAGGTAGTTGTTGTTGTTGTTGCTGTTGTTGTTGTTGTTTTAACTAACTTTATCCGAATCTATTTTTATGTAATAAAACTTATCTGTTTTATCATCATGTGTAGATTAATCGAATAGATTTTGTTTTTTTTTTTTGTTTTTTTTCTTTTTACATTTGGAAGTACATTTTAACTTTTTGGCATTTAGGTAATATCATAGCCTATTACATATCTATCAAATGACTTGTGTAGTGCATGTGTATTTACTATGACCCCTTTGTAACAAAATATATATGTTTTTAAATAAATAAATAATCAAACATTTACTATTTTTAATTATCCTGTTTACGTTGGTTTATAATTACATATTGTTCAATATTTCTTTGAGATTGATCTTTTCATTTTTATTTGCGATGGGAATTGAGCGTGTATACATAGTATACTGCCTTGAGAATGGAGAGAGTTCGCTCACTCTCTTGAAAAGCTCTCACATGACTATGTGTACATAACCACTGATAGAGAAATGCTACCTATTGCCTTCTCCTGGTGGAGGTGTTGTTTACGAAATTGATAGGATGAAATATAAATATCCGTCGCTTTAACCAGGGTGGTGAAAAGTTAACGTCGGAGAGTTGGGAAACCCTGATTCCAAACAAATGGTGTATGAACTAATCGGTGGTCGCCGGCTACCATGAGACAACATCTCCTTACGATGTTTCACTGCCTTGTGGATCAGATCTTCAGGTCGAAGGCTCCTGGTGTGATCTCCTAAGAAAACCACCTGCTACGGCTTAAGCATCCGTGCAGTATCTGGGCCCTCACATAAATCGAATGATTTATATGGCGCATATCTGTTTGGTGCCTACTTGTACCAATGTTTACATGTTTAAATAAATAAAAGTACACTGTTACATTATAGTCTTGTAATTAATAGTTCAAACGCTTGACTGTTCGTTAACGGTTTCTATTCTAACTTATGACCACCGATTAGAGAGCAGTGACTTATCGATCTGATCAATGACGCGCAAAACTCGTACGGGCAGCCTAGAGTCCTGATTGGTCTCGCTTCCTGTTTAGCCCCACCTAGTTAAGTCCAGAACACCAATCTCAGTCTCCACAATATGAACCATTTCGTTTTCGCGTTAATTCAAAAAGTTTCCTTTATTTCAATTAAATGTATTTCCAATCTGACTTGAATTGTATTTTGTTCATTTTTGATAAAGAGATTTATATACACTACAGAAAATTCACTTAGTATTGTTTGCTTGTATCCTACTATTGTTCTTTGGAACTGTGTTTGATTAATCTCTTGTTGGCATATATGTGTGTATCCTTTGTGAATTGCCTCGATATTGACTTAATTCATAAGCTTTATAAGTAAGGATAACTAGTGACTAGCAGTGGGATCCAATTTAACGCACGTTTCATTCTATTTGAAACTCGTCATATGGATATACCTTGAACGTGAACCCGTTACCGTTCACTTTAAACGTCATCCCTCTATATAGGTATATCCAGTTGATGAGTCTCAAATAGAATGATACACACATCTTGTATTCCACTGTTAGCCACTATCCATCTTTGTTTATAAAACTTGTAACTTAAGACAACAGAAAATTGTCTATAAATAAAGTAACTTGTAAGAAATTCAATTTCAGACTAACAAAAAAAAGAAAAAAAAAAGAAAAGAAAACTGTGCTCAATGTAACAACATCCTCACTAGATAGTTACTAAGATAAATCAATAATATGAGTTTATCAAATCATCTGACTTTTATACTTGTATCTACACATTTATTATCTGAATAGAATATAATAGAATAGCTCATTTATCTCATTATATATTGATGAATATCGTATGTGAATTTAACGCGTATAGTTCTCTCTACTTAGTTGTACAAAATAGGATTGGTAGATAAGTATCATTAACTTGTATCTAAGTGATATATAAAATATCTTAAATAAGTTCTAAAATTGATTAAAAAGAACTATACAGACATAATGTACCAATGAAAGTTACTGTGAGAAGTGATTAGGATATTAGTAAACGATTATTAGATTAGATTGAAACTGTGCTTATGGTGTATGCGACTGATATCGAAAGATATAAGTAGTATGGATCATCAATCAAATATGAAATGCTTAACGTCAGAGAGTTAAGATGATTGAAGAAAAGAGAACAGACAATGTTTGATATGGAAACGAAAGAACAATGAAGTCTGAGACAACTGACTGATATTTTGCAAATGAAGTATTCACTGTATGGTTCTTAGATATTGTCTGTTCAAATACATTCGATTGTCTTAACTTCTGTTCTTGTTCAACACATATTCAGTTCTATCACAGGGAAACTGTTTAGTCTTCTGTTGATTATTCCCACATTTCAAATCATCAGCCTTCAGCTGATTATTGTTTCTTGAAACCTTTGGTTTCCAGTTACCAAGTATTTCAAGATGAATGTTTATGGAGAGAAATTATTTGTATGTCACCGTTACTCTTTTTGTTTTGTTAGTTAACTTACATACTTTCGCCTGTTATTCCTCGTGAAATAGCATAGACCGCTCACCAGCATTCTCCATCCAAGCCTGTCCTGGGCAATACTGTCCAGTTCTTATTCATCCTTTTCATATCTGATTCTATTTCCCGACGTGATGTGTTCTTTAGCCTTCCTCTTTTCCGCTTCCCTTCGGGATTATAAGTAAGGACTTGTCTCGTGATGCAGTTTCCTCTTCAGCTGGAAGCTGGTTTGTTCTCTCCCACAGAAGGCTGTTATTGATGGTACCGGCCAATGGATGTTGAGTATGTTGCGTAGACAGCTATTGATAAATACTTGAATCTTTTTGATGATAGTTGTAGTAGTTCTTCAAGTTCCAGCTCCATACAGTAGAACTGTCTTGATGTTCGTATTGAAGATTCTGACATTAATATAGGCTTAAAGACAATTGTTTTGAGTTGCATATGTTCTTTAATTGAAGGAATGCGGTCCTTGCTTTGCCAATCCTCTCTTTTACATCTGCATTTGAACCTCCTTGCTCATCGATGATGCTTCTCAGATATGTGAAGGATTCTACATCCTCCAGAGTTCCGCCATCAAGTGTGTTTGTGTTCTCTGTGTTGAATTTGAGGATCTTGGTTTTCCTCTTGTGTATGTTGAGGCCTACTAATGCAGAAACTGCTGCTACATTGGCTGTCTTTATCTGCATTTGTTCGTGTGTTTTGTTAATGCTCTATACTATTTCTTCATTGGTTAGTGTTTAGAAATTTATTTCTGGAATCCAATGTATTCTGAAGTGAATCAATTCAAATTCATAAATAGTATAATAACGATTCCCATAGTGAAAATTAGAACAAACATTTAAGCGAACAATTGTTTTCAATCGGATGTAGTATCTTTGTTTATCAACGTACTACTTATCGAGACTATCAATTTTATATGCAAGCAATTATCAGAAAAACAAATCAACATTGACTTGCTTGAGGATAGTCTGAAGGAACTGCTTGTAAGATGTACTCTGAATGTCAATTTTGTCTTCAGCAATACTTATCAGAGACAAATAGACGGGATAGTCATGGGCTCACCTCTAGACCCGATTTTATCTGATCTATTCCTAGCAAAGCTAGAAAATGGACCACTTAGTGAGACTATTAAGGAGCTTGATTTATACTGCCGCTGCATCGACGACACATTTATTATCGTAGATCAGAACACTAGTAAGGAAACTCTCCTTGAACAATTCAACAATGTAGATCCGGTGATCAGTTTTATTGGTGAATGCGAGCATGACAAAAAACTGGACTTCTTTGACGTCACACTAAGCAGACGATGTGATGGCACATTAAGTAGAAGCGTGTATAGAAAAAGTCCTTCTGCCTGCCAATATACTCACTTCTATAGTTTCACACTTATCCGCTACAAGAGAAATCTGGTTAGATATCTCACTATTAGAGCTCAAAAGATCTGTACAGTAGATACTTTAAGTCAGGAGCTGGAATTTATCAACAACTCACTGATCGTGATCGGCTACCCCAGCGCGTTCATTAAGAAATACAAGTATAACATAAAAAAAGTCGAAGATTTCGACTGTTCGTAAGAAGTCTTTATACATGAAACTACAATTCAACGGGGATGGACTTTACTAACTAGATTACTTAAGACGTTTATTCTTAACCATATTCTGTCTGTAACTGAAAAAAAATCCATGAAAAATAATGAATTCATTTAATTCTACATAGTTTCTGGTTATTGTTTCATTTCAATTCTCTATCAAAGTTACTAAGTAAATAAATTACAAATATAAACCGATAGATTAGATGGTGGTTGAATATAGTCGACAGGAAACCCTGGACCCGGGTTTCGTGCTACATGGCACTCATCAACAAGGTGTACCTGTAATCTTAAAGGAACTGTTGCTGCCTGACGGAATCGGACCCGTGTCACCCAGCTTCACAGTCAGAGATGTTACCTACCACTAAGCTATCTGGACCGCGAACGACCTCCTGTAGGACTGAAATGTGATTACAATTGATTAATCACTGGGTGGTGATCAATGTCATACATGTCTAGTCCCAGTGATCAATCAATTGTGATAATGATTTTCTATTTGTCTACAGAACAACTCCAAACCCGTCAGCACCAAATCAAATGTCTCCAGCAGAAATTATGTTTGGCAGAAAAGTTAAAACTGCTCTCGATGCAATAAAACCAGAGCGAAATCTCATAGGAAGGAGAAACCGAAAGATGGTAATCCAATTTAATCGCCATCATGGGGCGAAAAATAGA